GGGAAAACTTAAGGGGACCACCTCAGCCTCCAGAGGAAGCCACTTGATCTTGCTGGGTTAGGAGCCACAGGCAGTAAGGTCACTCAGTCTACATGTGGCGCTGTGACCTCATGATGAGCCCTCTTATGTACTAGTAAGCAGCAGTGCTGAGGAAGGCCTGGGCACACTGGCTGGGGTTTGGCATTGGGAGAGCAGTTGAGTTACATTCTCTGCTTTGGAGGGGTTAATACCAAATGCTCCTTGTCCCCCTCCCCTTCCCCTTCCCTCTGCTCCCTCCTCTCCCTTTTTCCGTTCCTCCCCTTCCCTTTCCCCTTCCCCTTCCTTTCCTTTCCTTTTCCCCTCCCCTCCCTTCCACTCTCTCTCTTTCTCTCTTTCTCTCCCTCCCCTCCCCTCCCTTCCTTTCCCCTTCCCTTTTCTTCTCTCTCTCTCTTCTTTTTTTTTTGAGATGGAGTCTCACTCTGTGGCCCAGGCTGCAGTGCAGTGGTGTGATCTCAGCTCACTGCAACCTCTGCCTCCGGGTTTCAAGTGATTCTCCTGCCTCAGCCTCCTGAGTAGCTGGGATTACAGGTGCCCACCACCACACCCAGCTAATTTTTGTATTTTTAGTAGAGACGGGGTTTCCTCATGTTGGCCAGGCTGGTCTCGAACTCCTGACCTCATGGTCCGCCTGCCTCTGCCTCCCAAAGTGCTGGGATTACAGGCGTGAGCCACCATACCCTGTCTCATCTCTCTTTTTTTGACAGAGTCTTGCTCCACTGCCCAGGCTGGAGTGCAGTGGCTCAGTCACCGCTCACTGCAACCTCAACCTCCTGGACTCAAGCGATTCTCCTGCCTCAGCCTCCCAACAAGCTGGGACTACAGACACGCATCCCCACATCTGGCTAATTTTTGTTTTTTTTTTTCAGAGGGAGGCAGGGGTGAGGGTGGGAGGCTAATTTTTGTATGTTTTGTAAAAACAGGGTATCGCTATGTTGCCCAGGCTGGTCTCAAACTTGTGAGCTCAAGCAATCTGCCCACCTCAGCCTCCAAAGCACTGGGATTACAGGAGCCACTGTGCCTGGCCTCAGGTGGCCCTTTTTTATTGGCATAGCTGCGGGCCTCCCCCATGCAAGCTTCCAGCTTGCTTATCTGTGTTTGCAGCTCCATTTCTTCAGGCTGCTTTTTGTTAGAAAAGAAATGACTTGGGAGCCTGCCTTTTGTTAAAAGGGAAGCTCTGCAGAGGACTTTTTTTTTTTTTAGACGGAGTTTCGCTCTTCTTACCCAGGCTGGAGTGCAATGTCGTGATCTCGGCTCACGGCAACCTCCGCCTCCTGGGTTCAGGCAATTCTCCTGCCTCAGCCTCCTGAGTAGCTGGGATTACAGGCAGGCGCCACCATGCCCAGCTAATTTTTCTTATTTTTAGTAGAGATGGGGTTTCACCTTGTTGACCAGGATAGTCTTGATCTCGACCTCATGATCCACCCACCTCGGCCTCCCAAAGTGCTGGGATTACAGGCATGAGCCACCGCGCCCAGCCCAAGGGCTCTCTTATCCTCACTGTCTGCCTAAATAATTTCTTTCCACTTCCTGTATCATAGGGGATGAGAGTGTACCAGGTAAGAAGAGAAGGCCCAGCTCGACAAAGAGCTGTGGGGGCCGAGGTGTAAGCCCCCAGAAATGGAAGCTTCTGTCCTAGGTGGCCCTCCATGTGTTATGGAACCAGTTAGTCAGCCAGCAACAGTTTGTTAAAGCTTCCTGGATGTCCTGGTCCTTGTTAGGACATCCTGTGTGTGTGTGCCAATTGTTCCAGTAATCTCCCATTCACCCAACTGTTGAGGGAGGGATTAGCACCCTTGCGTTATAGGAGGGACAGCAGAACACGTGACACACAACGCTGGACAGGAGAGACTGACAGTTGTTTATTAGTTGCATACATTCACAGCCCAGAGGAGGAGGTACCTGTCATATTCAGGGGTCCCCGTGATTCCAGTTAACCAATTTCCTCAGGGGAGACATGTCCCCCTTCAGTCAATTCCAGTTAAACATGAGTCTTGGTGGAGTGAGGTAGCTCAGGCCTGTAATCCCAGCACTTTGGGAGGCCAAGATGGGTGGATCACCTCAGGTGAGGAGTTCAAGACCAGCCTGACCAATGTGGTGCAACCCTGTTTCTACTAAAAAACAAAAATTAGCTGGGCATGGTGGTGGGTGCCTGTAGTCCCAGCTACTTGGGAGGCTGAGAGAGGAGGATTGCTTGAAGCCGAGTGTCAGAGGTTGCAGTGAGCCAAGATTGCACCACTGAACTCCAGCCTGGGCTGGAGACTCTGTATTAAAATAAAAAAAGGGCCTTACACACCATCTGAGTTTCAAATTTTGGGCTGGGTGCGGCGGCTCATGCCTGTAATCCCAGCACTTTGGGAGGAGGAGATGGGAGGATCACCTGAGATCAGGAGTTTGAGGCCAGCCTAGCCAAGATAGTGGAACCCCATCTGTAATAAAAATACAAAAACAAATAGCCGGGAGTGGTGGCATATGCCTGTAGTCCCAGCTACTCGGGAGGCTGAGGCAGGAGACTCACGTAAACCTGGGAGGTGGAAGTTGCAGTGAGCTGAGATTGCACCACTGCACTCCAGCAGGTGTGACAAAGCGAGACTCCATCTTGAAAAAAAAAAAAAAAAAGAGTTTCAAGTTTTGGAGCATTTCACATTTTGGATTTTCAGATTAGGGATGTTCAACTTGTAATTATATAAACATGTTAATTATAACCCTGTGGTATACCATGTATACCATATATGTAATAAAGTACATAAACTAGGCTTATACACTATATACTAAATATATTTATATCTATGTATACTGATGCACCCCAGAACACATATACACACAATAGCAGTCATCCCCTGGTAAAGCTGGGGTGTTGGTTCCAGGACCCCAACAGTACACACCAAAATCCACACATACTCAAGTCTCGCCATCATCCCTGTGGAATCCACTTAAAAGAAAAGTTGGGGCCGGGCATAGTGGCTGATGCTTGTAATCCCAGCACTTTGGGAGGCCAAGGTGGGTGGACGGCTTGAGTTCATGAGTTCAAGACCAGCCTGAGCAACACGGTGAAACCCATCTCTACAAAAAAGTACTAAAGGCTGGGTGTGGTGGCTCACGCCTGTAATCCCAGCACTTTTGGAGGCTGAGGCAGGTGGATGATGAGGTCAGGAGTTCGAAACCAGCCTGGCCAACATAGTGAACCCTCATCTCTACTAGAAATACAAAAAATTAGCCGGGCTTGGTGGCAGGTGCCTATAATCCTAGCTATTCGGGAGGCTGAGACAGGAGAATCCCTTGAACCCAGGAGGCAGAGGTTGCAGTGAGCCAAGATTGTTCCATTGCACTCCAGCCTGGGTCACAGTGCAAGACTCCCCATCTCAAAAAAAAAACAAAACAACCAAAACTTAGACAGTCATGGTGGTGCACGTCTGTGGTCCCAACTACTCAGGAGGCTGAGGTGGGAGGATTGCTTGAGCCCAGGAGGCAGAGGTTGCAGTAAGCTGAGTTCAAGCCACTGGGCAATAGAGCCAAACCTTGTCTCAAAAAAAAAAAAAAAAAAAGTCAGCCTTTTATACTCTTGGGTTTTGCATCATGCTAATATTGTATTTTCCTTTCTTTTTTTTTTAAGACGGGGTTTCACCATGTTGGTCAGGCTGGTCTTCAACTCGCGACCTCATGTGATCCGCCCACCTTGGCCTCCAAAGTGCTTGGATTACCGGTGTGAGCCACCACGCCCGGCCCCGAATACTGTATTTTCAATTGGAATTTAGTTGAAAAATAATCTATGTATAAGTGGACCCACACAGTTCAAACTTATGTTATCTGAGGGTCAACTCCATGCTATATTGTGTAATACACTAATACATGAGTATCTCTTCTGAATGGAGATGCAAGAAGCCTCAGCAAATAAGAGCAAACCAAATTCAGCAATCTGTACCTGCGAACCATGACCACTGGAATTCTACCCAGGAAAGCAACATTAGTTTCACTTGTGAAAAATAATCAATGTGGGCCGGGCGCGGTGGCTCACACCTGTAATCCCAGCACTTTGGGAGGCCGAGGCGGGTGGATCACGAGGTCAAGATTGAGACCATCCTGGTCAACAAGGTGAAACCCTGTCTCTACTAAAAATACAAAAATTAGCTGGGCATGGTGGTGCGTGCCTGTAATCCCAGCTACTCAGGAGGCTGAGGCAGGAGAACTGCCTGCACCCAGGAGGCAGAGGTTGTGGTGAGCCGAGATCGCGCCATTGCACTCCAGCCTGGGTAACAAGAGTGAGACTCTGCCTCAAAAGAAAAAAAAAAATAATCAATGTAAACTGGGCATGGTGGCCTGCTCTTGTAATCCCACGCTGAGGCGGGCAGATCACTTGAAGCCAGAAGTTTGAGACCAGCCTGGCCACCATGGCAAAACCCCATCTCTACTAAAAATACAAAAATTAGCTTGGCATGGTGGTGCATGCCTGTAATCCCAGCTACTTGGGAGGCTGAGGCACGAGAATCGCTTGAATTCAGCAGGATGAGGTTGCAGTGAGTCGAGATTGAACCAGTGCACTTCAGCCTGGGTGACAGAGGGAGACTGTCTCAAAAAAAAAAAAAAAGGGGGGGGGAATAATTAATGTAGCAGATCGCGGTGGCTCACACCTGTACAAAATTAGCCAGTCATGGTGGTGCATGCCTGTAATCCCAGCTTGGTCAAGGACTGAATCTTTTGCCAGTATGTACATGTTATATACAGCACGTGACATATACAGGTATCTATGTATATTGGAGACTGTGTTAAGGGGATTCTGCACAACTGAAACCCTGATGTGTGGACAAGAATTTGGATGGTCACTCTTGAGGATTTGGGATGTTGCTGATGCTAGGAGACTTAGGGCAGCTCTTGCCTCTGAAAGGACCATTGAATTCAATCCCTGGAATCCACCCAGACCTTGAAGGTACTTTCTCCTTACACAGCATCACTCCCCCAGGACTCACCAGGTGCAGCTGTGTTCACTCCTCTGCGTCCTCTGCCTTATGTCCTCCCGAGCACTTGGCATTTCTACTTTGGTGACAAAAGGTCCCAATCTCAAGTCTCCTCCCAGGTAGTGCAGTGGCTCATGCCTCTAATCCCAGGACTTCGGTAGGCTGAGGTGGCCAGATCGCTTGAGGTCAGGAGTTTGAGACCAGCCTGGGCAACATGGTGAAACCCCCCATCTCTATAAAAAAAATACAAAAATTAGCCAGGTGTAGTGGTACACACCTGTAGTCCCAGCTACTTGGGAAGCTGAGGCAGGAGGATCACTTGAGCCCAGGAGGTCAAGGTTGCAGTGAATATGATCCCACCACTGCACTCCAGCCTGGGTGACAGAGTGAGACTGTCGCAAAAAAAAAAAAAAAAAAAAGTGCTTTTCTGTAAATGTAGAAAATGGGAGTTCAAGGATGTGAAAGTTAAGGGCTGGAAATGGATTGATGCTGCTGCTCCAGCCCCTCAGCTGTTATCATAGTAGATGCTTCCAGAAACATCCCTCAGGACTTCACCTTTTATCAGTTTGCTTTTCCAGTGAGCGCAAAGTGAGGGCAGCAAGGCATGGCTCTCATGGCTCAGATGCATGCTGTCCTCTGAGCGCTTCCTGGTAGTCCTCACTTCCACTGAGGCACATCTGCCACAGAACTACCCCTAGATGTCCTCACGGGACCCCACCATGCTCAAGGCTGCCCCTGACGCATGTCTGCTGTTGGGGTAGGATGGAGGCCTACAAAACTCAGACTAAAAGTCTTGAAGTGAGAGAAATGTCACTTCTGGTACCCAGGGAAAGACAGGAAGTTGTGAGATTGGATGGTGAGCTGGCTTCCCTCATTCTTGTCACGTCCCTGGCACGACACTGTGACTTGCTATCCAGGTAACAGTGGGCACTGCCTCCACCAAAGGAAGGGGCTGACACCTACCATGGCTGCACAGCTCAGCAAAGGAGGAACTCTTCGGTGGTGTCAGAACAGTTTCATGGGAGTTCAGTTCACCTTGTGTTCTGGGAGTGACATGAAGCAAGTCGCCTCCATGGCCGGTGGCGCTTCTCTGACATGGTGACTTCCTGTACACCACAGGCTGAAGTTCTGCAGGGTGCGTCTTGTTCCATGAAGCATAAGTGCTGGCCTTGGAGGCGTGGCTACAAAACCAGCCCCAAAGCAGCACACACGACACGCGCTGAAGAGAGCAGGCCTCGTCACGGTCGGGGCCCAAGCCAGGTGGAATGTGCCAGAAAATCTGGGGTGGGCCAGCTAGGGAAAGTAAGAAGTTTGGTTGTGTCCTGCAGTCTGGGGTCATACCACCCTGAATGTGCCTGATCTCGTCTATGTCCTGTAGCTGGAACATGGTAGGGCATGTCTCTGTGGTACCACTGTTGGTTTTGAGACTTCTGTGGAGATTGGTACAGAGCTGGTGGTTATGGGACAGTGGATCTTATATGGCCAAAGGGCATGTGTCCCATGACACAGGTTCTGCCTCGGCTTCTCCAGCCCTCTCACTTTAGAGCTACCTGGGCTGTCACAGAGAGATGTTCTGGTGTGAACTTTTAAACACATTTACCAGCAAGAATCTACAGTGTGGGTTTGGATGGGAAACAGAGCTAGAGATGACCTCCAGATGGCCTTGGAATGACATGATGCTGACAGCTGTGAAATAGGGTGTCCACAGGCAGATGCCGCTGGAGAACTGTGGGACACACCTTTGTTTTCAGAAACTCAACATTCCCAAAGGTCTGAACCAAGGACACTGATGGGAACTTAAAGGCAGATTGTGGGCGCCCTCTTAATTCTGTGCAGTCATGTGTGTGAGCTAACAGCTGAGACTGTTTCTTAACTTCAGACTGGATTCCAAGAAAGGCCTATTGGGTCCCCGGTCCTTTCTCCTCAGTCCTTCAGTTTGTCCTAAGATGGTGGAAAGAGTTGCATATGTAATTGAAGACATTTCCATATCGCTTACACTCAAGAAGCTGCTCTTAAATTTGTGAGTGGTTTCATGGTCTTGAACTAAGATGTACAAGAAACTCTTAGAAATGACAGAAAAAGGCTGGGCGCAGTGGCTCACGCCTGTAATCCCAGCACTTTGGGAGGCCGAGGCGGGTGGATCACGAGGTCAAGAGATCGAGACCATCCTGGTCAACATGGTGAAACTCCATCTCTACTAAAAATACAAAAAATTGGCTGGGCATGGTGGTGCGTGCCTGTAATCCCAGCTACTCAGGAGGCTGAGGCAGGAGAATTGCCTGAACCCAGGAGGCAGAGGGTGCGGTGAGCCGAGATCACGCCATTGCACTCCAGCCTGGGTAACAAGAGCGAAACTCCATCTCAAAAACAAAACAAAGAAATGACAGAAAAGAAGTTAAATGAATACGAAACTGAAGAGTTTAGTTTCCACAGAGATTTAAAAAGTACTCAACTTGAGGCTGCTCCTCTGGGCACACTGCTTGTGGGGTGGCCCTGCTCTGCAAGGAGCAGCCCTTTAAAAAAAAACAAAAATGAGTCAACTTGAAATAGATATTCAGATTAATAAGATAAAACACAAGATTGATAATCTTACAGCAGAACTGAAAGCTGCATCTTCAAAATGTCTATATCTAGATAAAAACAATCAAGTTCTGCAACAGGAATTATTATCTATGAAAACGATACCACAGAAATGTAAGGAATTTGAGAAGAATAAAAAGGTGTTGGAACAAGAAGTGAGAAGAATTGGCTAGCTTGGCTTAGGTACATAGCAAGGGAAGGGTGTCTGGAAAGCCCCCAAGCCACTGGTCATGCCTTGGCTTGATATGTGATTCCCACATATCACAAGTGCTCTGACTGCATTAAAAATAATAATAATTAACACAGGGATTTGTGCCTGGAGACATGCCTGCAGCTGCACAGATAGAATTTGTAGCCCACTCAAGATAAGAAAACTTGCACAAACCTTCGGCTCACTTAAATAAAGAAACAAGGCCCAACACAGAAATGCCTTTGTCCTTTGCATAACTAGCAGGCTCCCAGGAAACAGCCTCTACTCCTTTGGTGGGCATTTACTTGGTGGGCTCTGGTGGGTTCCAGCGAGCACTTTCTTTTTTCTTTTTCTTTTTTTTTTTTTGGAGACAGAGTTTCTCTCTTGTTACCCAGGCTGGGGTTCAGTGGCATGATCTCAGCTCACTATAACCTCTGCCTCCCGGGTTCAAGCAATTCTCCTGCCTCAGCCTCCTGAGGAGCTGAGATTACAGATATGCACTACCATGCCTGGATAATTTTTGGTAATTTTTAGTAGAGATGGGGTTTCACCATGTTGGCCAAACTTGTTTCAAACTGACCTCAAATGATCTGTCTGCCTCGGCCTCCCAAAGTGCTGGGATTACAGGCGTGAGCCACCGTGCCTGGCCCATTTTTTTTTAAACAGATTTCACTGCAGCAGGAGTCTTGTCTTTGAAATGAATTAGGTCAACTGAAGGCTTAATCACAATGTTTACATTCATGTAGTTTTTCACCAGTGGGAATTCTTTCATGTGTTCAAAAGAAACTGGAACAATCAAGGGCTTCAAAGCAATGTTTGTATTCACACAGCTTCTGTCCAGTATGAACTCTTTCATGTATTCAGAAGGAACTGGAACAACTAAAGGCTTTAGAATGCTGCTTACATTCTTAGGCTTTCTCTCCAGTATGAGTCCGTTCATGCAGTCGAAAGTGACTGGAAGAAATGAAGGCTTTTCCACATTGTTTGCATTCATAAGGTTTCTCTCCAGTGTGAGATCTTTCATGAATTCGAACAGAACTTGAAAATCTGAAGGCTTTCCCACATTGTTTACATCGATAGGGTTTCTCTCCTGTGTGAGTTCTCTCATGCATTCGAAATTTACTGGAAGAAATGAATGCTTTTCCACACTGTTTACACTGATATGGTTTCTCTCCAGTGTGAGTCCTTTCATGCAATCGAACTTGACTGGAACGAAGGAAGGCTTTACCACATTGTTTACATTCAAAAGGTTTATTCCCGGTGTGAATTTTTTCATGTTCTCGAAGGGAACTTGAAAAACTGAAGGTTTTCCCACATTGTTTACATTCATAGGGTTTCTCTCCGGTGTGTGTTCTTTCATGCAGTCGAAAGGAACTGGAACGAATGAAAACTTTTCCACACTGTTTACATTCATAGGGTTTCTCTCCAGTGTGAGATCGTTCATGAATTCGAAAATAACTTGAACACCTGAAGGCTTTTCCACACAGTTTACATTCATAGGGCTTCTCTGCATTGTGAGTCCTTTCATGTCTTTGAAGGGAACTTGAAAAACTGAAGGTTTTCCCACATTGTTTACATTCATAGGGTTTCTCTCCAGTGTGAGTTGTTTCATGTTCCCGAAGGGAACTTGAGAAACTGAAGGCTTTTTGACACTGTTTACATTCATAAGGTTTCTCTCCAGTATGAGTTCTTTCATGCATTCGAAGAGAAATGGACCAACTGAATGATTTGCTGCATTGTTTACATTCATATGGTTTTTCTCCAATGTGATTTCTTTCATGCACTCGACAGGAATGAGAAGAGTTGAAGGCTTTCCCACATTCTTTACACTTATAAGGTCGTGCTCCACTGTGTGTTATTATATGTGCTCGAAAGCTTGCAGAATAAAAGAAGGCTTTTCCACATTCTTTACATTCATACGGTTTCTCTCCACTATGAGTCCTTTTATGCCTTCGAAAAGAACTGAGAAAACTGAAGGCTTTACCACATTCTTTACATTTATAGGGTTTTTCTCCAGTGTGAGTTCTTTCATGAGTTCGAAAGTAAGTGGGACAACTGAAGGCCTTACCACACTGTTTACATTCATAGGGTTTCTCTCCAGTGTGGGTCCTTTCGTGTCTTTGAAAAGACTGGTAACATATAAAGGCTTTCCCACACTGTTTACATTCATAGGGCTTCTTTCCAATATGAGCATGTTTTTGAAAAGACTGGTAATATACAAAGGTTTTTCCACATTGTTTACATTGATAGGGTTTCTCTCCAGTATGAGTCCTTTCATGTCTCTGAAAAGGTTGGTAATAAATAAAGGCTTTCCCACACTGTTTACATTCATAGGGCTTCCCTCCAGTGTGAGTTCTTTCATGTTTCTGAAAACAGTGGCGATAACTGAAGGCTTTCCCAGGCACTTTACGTTCACACGGTTGCTTTTCATATTCCTGATACTCATTTGGTTTCTGACCAGTGTGAGATCTCATGTGCTTATTAAGGGATGACTGATGCACGAAGTCTTTCCCACAAAAGCTGCGTTCACGTCGTTTTGCTCCAGTAAAAGTTTCCTTGTTGATGTTAACGTTTGGCATCTGGCTGGTGGTTTCTCTACATTTGCTACCTTTTCCACTTTCACAGAGTCTCTCAACCATATGACCTCTGTAAAGAATGAGCAGCACATTATTAGTGGCTTTTTAATTAATTATTTTATATTTATTAGTAGGTAGGAGAATTACATTTTAACCATTTTCAGAGAAAGTGTAGGATATTTGCCCTGTCTGAATTGTTTTGAAAGTTAATATATTCGATGATCTGAAAGAAGACTCAACCATAGTTATGATCAAGTCAATTTCTTTTTTAAATAAAAATGAGATGAGATGGAGTCTCATTCTCTCACCCTGGTTGGAGTGCAGTGGCACGATCATAGCTCACTGAAGCCTTGAATTCCTGGGCTCAACTGATCCTCCCACCTCAGCCTCCTGAGCAGCTGGGACTACAGATGCATGCCACCATGCTCGGCTAATTTTTTTTTTCTTTTTAGATGAGGCCTTGCTATGTTACCCAGGCTGGTCTTGAATTTCTGGCCTCAAGTGATCATTCTACCTCAGCCTCCCAAACTGCTGCGATTACCAGCATGAACTACTATGCCTGGCCAAGAGTCATATTTATAGAAGGGGTTTCTAAATGCTGTTTCAAAGTGATTTATTTTTCACATCCTGAACATCTATGATGTTTTTAAGAAAACATTCAGTGGAAATTTTCTAGGAGTAAGTAAATTTGAAACTGTGCTTATTGTTTTGTTTGCTTTCTTGTGAAATTTCCCCACAGGCCACTATTCTTCTGTGGCTGCAACTCACCTTCGATTTCTCCCCAGGTTTCTGTGGTCATCCTCAATGTGCTGGTCTTCCCACCTTTTCCCTAAAATGCACACCCAGAAACATCATTATAAACTATTAGAAATTACAGAAAATTGTTACAGTCTCATTTCATGACGAGTTGTGACTCTGTCTGATTCAATCACCGAAGGATTCCCTTTCCACATTTCAGATTTTGGAACACAGCTGTGGAGCAAGGAACACTTGTTCTGTGTTCTGTATATAACTAAGGAGAGAAATGTTGATATCCTTACCTAGACAGACCAGGTTCTTGAAGGTCTCCCGCATCACATCTTTGTAGAGCTTTTTCTGTGAAGAATCCAGCAAAGCCCACTCCTCCAGGGTGAAGTTCACAGCCACATCCTCAAAGGAGACTGAGTTCTGAAACATTCCACATGTGTTTACAGGAGGATGGGTGAGACTGGTGGTACTGGGGATCTGTACTCAATCTGTAAGAAGCTCACATGTGGCCGGGTGCGGTGGCTCACACCTGTAATCCGAGCACTTTGGGAGCCCGAAGCAGGCAGATCACCTAAGATTGGGAGTTTGAAACCAGCCTGACTGACATGCAGACACCCCGTCTCTACTAAAAATACAAAATTAGGCCAGGCATGGTGGCTCACACCTGTAATCCTAGCACTTTGAGAGGCCGAGGCGGGTGAATCACAAGGTCAGGAGCTCAAGACCAGCCTTGCCAATATGGTGAAACACCGTTTCTACTAAAAATACAAAAATTAGCTAGGCATGGTGGCGTGCACCTGTGGTCCCAGCTACCTGGGAGGCTGAGACAGGAGAATTGCTTGAACCCGGGAGGCAGAGGTTGTAGTGAGCTGAGATTGTGCCACTGCACTCCAGCCTGGGCAACAGAGCAAAACTCTGTCTCAAAAAAAAAAAAAGTAGTTCACATACAATTCTGTGTTCTCCAGACATTTGGTGTGTGACTTGGCTGTCAGAACTATAACTGTCCACACTCACTTCCTCATAAAATTCACACTATCATGAACACACAGAAATTACTTCCATTTTTTTCTTTCTGAGACAGAGTCTTGCTTTATTGCCCAGGCTGGAGTTCGGTGGCGTGATCTTGGCTCATTGCAACCTCCACCTCCTGAGCTCAAATGATTCTTATGCCTTAGCCTTCTGAGTAGCTGGGACTACAGGTGTGTGCCACCATGCCTGGCAAATCTTTTGTATTTTTAGTAGAGATAGGTTTTCACCATGTGGGCCAGGCTGGTCTCAAACTCCTAAGCTCAGGCAATTTGCCTTCCTCGGCCTCCCAAAGTGCTAGGATTACAGGCGTGAGCCACTGTGCCTGGTCAATTACTTCTATATTTTTACTGTGATCCTTTGAAACCTTATTGTTCTCTAAAGGCAGACTCAAGCTCACCTTGGAAAAGTAAGAGAAATGCTATACAAATGAAACAAATTTTAAGACCATCAATCCCTTGCGAGAAAAACTCATTTCCTACCTTATTATATAACTTATCACTCAGCATTTCATTAAACGTGGGATCAAATCCGGATAAGGTTTTAATAAATAAATACACCTTCAAGAACTGTAGACTTTTTCTTTTATTTCCATGAACGAACAAGAGGCCAGGAGGCTTGTGGAAAGTTACATTGTTCCAAGAATCTGCTGGCCATATCCTGAAGTTTCTAGGTCACTACAAGTACTCCAATTCAGCTGGTTGAATGAAAATATTCCTTTGCAGAAGTATTAATTTCAACTTCTTTGTGTAATATTTATTACAGTCTCCATTCTTCCTTTTTCTCTCTCCACATTTCTTTTTCTTTTTTTTTTTTTTTGAGACAGTCTCGCTCTGTCACCAGGTGCCAGGCTGGTGACAATGGCACAATCTCGGCTCACTGCAACTTCTGCCTCCCAGGTTCAAGCAATTCTCCTGCCTCAGCCTCCCGAGTAGCTGGGACTACAGGTACACACCACCATGCCCAGCTAATTTTTATATATTTTTTTAGTAGAGACGGGGTTTCACTGTGTTGGCCAGGATGGTCTCGATCTCTTGACCTTGTGATCCGCCTGCCTCGGCCTCCCAAAGTGCTGGGATTACAGGAGTAAGCCACCACGCCCAGTCTTCTCTCACACACATTTCATGGGTCTAGAAGGTTACTGGGAAGTTAGAGCTCAGACCTGAGGAGGAGCACATGGCAACTTAGACCTCCACAAAATCCCTATACCCAGGAGAGGGTTTATTACGCATAGACTTGAGACCCTGGGAAGAGCAGGGTGGGTTGGCTGGGGATTTTCACTGAGGTTAGCAAGTGGGCTAGCCAGCACCAAATGAGGGTGACCCAGGTTCTCTTCCTACCACATCTGGATGTGGGGTACACAGTGGAAAAGGAAGAATGAGATTTTATTTTATTTAATTTTTTCTTTTTGAGACCGTGTTTCGCTCTGTCTGGAGTACAGTGGTGCGATCTCAGCTCACTGCAACCTTTGCCTCTCGGGTTCAAGCAATTCTCGTGCCTCAGCCTCCTGAGCAGCTGGGATTACAGGTGTGCACCACCTAATTTTTGTGTTTTTAGTAGATACAGGGTTTGCCATGTTGGCCAGGGTGGTCTTGAACTCCTGGACTCAAGTGATCTCCCTGCCTCCGCTTCCCAAAGTGCTAGGGTTACAGGCGTGAGCCCCTGTGCCTGGCAAGAATGAGATTTTAAAGATATCATCCATCAAACATCACAAAAAAATGAAGTCAGAGACTTCCAATTTCTGGTCTTACAAGTAAGGAACATAGAATTTGTCATTCCCAGATGTGCCAGTAACAAATAAACAAACATCAAATCGACGACTCTTCTTAGATCCACTAAATAATTGAAGGTCATAAGGCAAAGTTTTCTCCAAAATTTGAGACACAAATAGGAAAAGTAACAATTTTGTAATAATCCCAGAACATAATGTTCTTCCTAAGAAAGTCTCTTCTCAAAAAACTGTATCTCAACAAAAGCCTAACCTACTAGGAGTTTGCCAAAGCCTACGTGACCTGGGGCAGGGACAGGAAAGCATGTGTGAGGGTGACCCATCTTTTGTCTTCCCAACACCAATACAAGGTGCCTTTTCCAATACCACTCTCCAACTCTCTGACATTGACCATGTGTCCTAAAATTTAATTCAATTCTAAGTACCCAGAATTAGTTACACTCCACAGGTTAAGGCCTCAGTCCCACAAGACTGTCCTCATGTCAGATGCAAGCCACAAAGTGGGGTACCCAGGCGCCCAGGCTTCTACATGCCAACTACAAGTCTGGAGTTCCCACACCACCCTTTATGTTTAATAATTCACTAAAGCTTCCCTCTGAAGTCAGGAGAGTAATTTACTTAGCATCAGTTTATTATAAAATATACAACTCAGGAACAGCCAAGTGGAAGAGGCGCATTGGTCAGTATGGGGAGGAGGTGGGATGTTTCCATGCATTTTCTGGGTGTGCCACCCTCACAGCACCTTGATATGTTCACCAACATGGAAGTCCTCAGAACCCCAATATATGAAGGTCCCATCACATAGATATGACTGATGAAATCATTGCACACTAATCATTAATTCAGTCTCCAGCTCCTCTTTTCTCCTTTGAGTTTGGGGGCTAGGGCTGAAAGTTCAAGGGCGGTCTTTCTGGTCACCGGTCCTAATCCTCAAATCGTCTAGGATCTCCTGAGTGCTACTTTGCAAACAAAGAGGATCCTTTCACCCTTTTCACTTGTGAAATTCAAGGGATTTAGGAGGTCGGTGCAAGGAATCACATACAAAGACTAAGTGTGTTTCTTATCATATCACAGAACATCACAGCTCGGGGGTATAAACTCACTAAAAGACTGAGGGCTTGGCCGGTCATTGTGGCTCACACCTGTAATCCAAGCACTTTGGAGGCCAAAGCGGGTGGATCACCTGAGGTTGGGAGTTCAAGACCAGCCTGACCAACAAGGTGAAACCCCGTCTTAAAAAAAAAAAAAAAAAGACTGAGGGCTGGACCAGTGGTGGCTCAGACCTGTAATCCGAGAACTTTGGGAGGTTAAGGCAGGCAGATCACCTGAGCTCAGGAGTTCAAGACCAGCCTGGCCAACATGGAGAAACCCTATCTCTACTAAAAATACAAAATTAGCCAAGTGTGGTAGCATGCACCTGTAATCCCAGCTACTTGGGAGGCTGAGGTTGCAGTGAGCTGAGATCTCCCCATTGCACTCCAGCCTGGGCAACAAGAGCAAAACTCTATCTCAAAAAAAACACAAAAAATAAAAACAAAAAAAATTAGCTGGGCATGGTGGTGCATGCTGTAATCCCAGCTACTCGGGAGGCTGAGGCAGGAGAATTGCTTGAACCCAGAAGGCAGAGGTTGCAGTGAGCCGTGATCGTGCCACTGCACTACTGCCTGGTGACAGAGCGAGATTCCGTCTCAAAAATAAAAAACAAAAAAAAGACTGAGATCAAATCATTGGACTATAACATGTTTCCACCCTTCTCACATCTTACCAGTATTGTCATTAGGGCTTCTGTGTAAAAACAGACGACTACATTGCACTGTTTATTTCTGCATGTTTCAGACTTATTTAACAAGTGTCTAGAGAACCCTAAAGATGACAGGAGAGAGAAAAGCAAGGACACCAGGGACACCAAAGGAAATTTTATCCTCTGACATCTACAGTAAACACAGACAAAACCCAGTAGGATAAACCGAAAACCTCACACTCAAGGGCTGTTTACCTCCGTTTCTTTTTCCCAGTACATCTTGTCCAGTTTTCAACAAAAGTTATATGAAATATCAAAAGCCTTTAAGAACAGAGTCAGAAGACAGAGGTCAAGCACCAGAACCAGATTAGGTGTAGAAGAGATGTTGGAATTGTCAGATCGGAAATTTAAACCAAATATGATTAATATATTAAGGGTTCTCATGGAAATAGTGAACAATAACATGAAAGGAAAAACAGACAATTTAAGTGAAGATATAGAAATTTTTTTTTTTTTAAGATGGAGTTTTGCTCTTGTTGCCCAAGCTGGAGTGCAATGCATAATCATGGCTCACCATGACCTACGCTTCAGGGGTTCAAGCGGTTCTCCTGCCTCAGCCACCTGAGTAGCTGGGATTACAGGCAGGTGCCATCACACTGGGCTAATTTTGTATTTTTAGTAGAGACGGGGTTTCTCCATGTTGATCAGGCTGGTCTCGATCTCCCGACCTCAGGTGATCCCCCTGCCTCAGCCTCCCAAAGTGGTAGGATTACAGGGGTGAGCCACTGCGCCTGGCCGAGATATAGAAATTCTAACAAAGAATCAAAAGGTAATGAAGGACAGAAAATACGCTGCAACAGAAATGAAGGGCAGCTTTAGAGGTTCGTCAATACAGTGCAAATGTCTGAAGAGATGATCAGTGAT